CTGGTCATAACCTGAGCACACCTAGATAAGTGGACCACATAGGAATAACCTCTACGCGGTGTCGGGCCAGGTGGGGAGCCCGGGGACGGGCTCTATACAAACATAATGAGTGAGATGTGCACCGTCTGGGGGATGGACACGCTTGCAAGCGTTCTCACCGGGGGAGGGAGGCAGTGCAAAGGGTATATATGAGGTATCTCATACCCTGGTAAGCACTTTCGGCTGATCCGGCCTCCGCGTCAGCCCCACAATATGCTCGTAAAAAAAAACAAAACGACTTGAAAGGGAGCACAAGTTTCAGACGTAGGACAATAGACGAGCATCTTAGCCCAGAGGGATGATTGTGACAGACTAACCTGATGGTTGGAGAAAAGGAGTGAGGTGATAGACGCGTGTTTGTGAATGACGAGAGACAATATAGTTAGAGCTAGATGATGTTAATGGGGCGGGGGGAACCCAAGCTCTGTAAAACTAATTTAAAAGAGTTACACGTAAGAGCCTCAATCCCAAACATGGAGCACGTAGGTCGCGTTGTGTTAGACTGAAAGGCAGGACATCTTGACGAGGGCTTACCAGTTACCAGGTGGGTTTACCAGATTCTTTGATTGTAATTGTTAAAAGAAATGAGTTTGTCTAAAGGCTTCACGTGTTTGTAATGAGAAAGATGTCTGTCAATCAGAGTATAAGCCACTGGACATTACCTAAACTCAACGACGATCTGTTAAGTAAAGTTGCCAGTGTCGCAGTTGATTTAACTTTGGCCTTGCGTACCTTAGGCCTGTTAATCTATTTGATATCCTTATTAGTTTCAAAAAAAATCTCCAAAATGGAGAGGGCATTATGAGATGTGTCTGACCTCTCACTCCCTCATTGCCAGCAACTCAGCTTAAGTTTTTCTAGGGTCCCCTTGGCCAGAGGGGTCCATTCAGTCAGCCATGGGACTTAAGATCTTTATTTTAGTACAGTGAGAAAGTGCTTTGTGGCCATGTTCAATCTAAATGTACGTTTTTGCTATCGCCATATACCAAGGCACTTGTTGTTTTGACATTTATGTGCAAAACCTCAGAAATGCCTGCATTGATAATCTATATATTGTTAGTTGTTTTTTTTTTTTTTTAAACTACTTTATTGCCGAGGTTGTGCTCACACTGTCATCCTAGCACTCTGAGAGGTCTGAGGCGGGCACGATCGTTTGAAGGCTCAGGAGTTCGAGACCGCCGAGCAAGAGCAAGCTGTCTCTACTAAAAATCGGAAAAATTAACTGCAACTAAAATCTATTGAAAAATAGCCTCTAACGGCAATGTGCGCATGCTGTATATCCAGCTACTTGGGAGGCTGAGGGGAGAGGACATTATGAGCCAGGAGTTTGAGGTTTCTCTGAGCTAGCTGATGCCACACTCACTCTAGCCTGGGCAACAGACGTGAGACTCGTCTCAGAACAAAAATAAAGAAGAACAGCTTACTTATATGTAGTGGTGACTCTGACATGTAAGAACTCCTGTCATATTTAATGTATACAAGTTCCATGATATCGGAATACTAACTACACCATGTGTACCGAAGCCAATTCACCTACATCAAACCATAGACATATGCAGTCACCCCCAACTCTACCCCTTTATTATTATGGGGTAGTGTTGCTGGGCGGGTAGATAAGGCCGTACTTACATAAAATCTACCTAGGCTTATATATTTTAGATACAATACAGTGTTGTTATAGCCATAGGTATATGCTTATGGGGGATCGTAGAACTTAATTTATTTGCTCACTAAAGCTATTCTTATTACTTGATCGGATCCCATTTGTACTCTAGACAGTTACGCGTTTTTGCAAAGTGAATTGGAAGATAGAATTTACCTGAGCAGGGAGGAACAGTCTAGAGGCTATAAAATAGATGAGACTACCATTAGCTTATTTCAAAGGAAGACAGCAGCGCTCTCTAGTCTGTAATCTAGAAGATAGAATAACACAAGACTACGAGCTCAAATCTATGTTTGGCGAGCGAACTCAAGCTGCGATTGGACTTGTTGCTAGCTGGTATTCTAAGCAACTATGGAAAATAGAATCACTTCTAGCGATTATTTAGTTCTTTCTTGAACACTTTAAGAAAAGCGTGTCAAGATCAAGACTAACGTAACTCTGAGGAAAGTAATAGGACAAAAGGATTATGACTTGAGAGCAAGCAGGAAAAAAATTTGTCTATTTGAAGATATACATTGATTTTGCAGTTACCTATGCTGACCCGTATCACTTTTTAGCATTTGTCACAGTAGGTCAACAGCATATATAATGATACTTATGAACTAACACAGTCATCTCCTAATCTAGGCGAAATGTATCTCGATGTCTTTCTAAACTACATCTCAAGTCTTATATGATCACCATTGTATATCTATAATAGGAGCATTCTACTTAACTTTCTAGGCTCTTCTTCTTCGCCCAGCCATAACTATAAATGAGCTGCCTTCCTTCACTTTACTTTCAAAATAGTTAAACAGCGCGCAGACTTGCTATTTTGCTTAATTTGACAATCACTTACTATTTGAACACTTTACTAAAGTACCGTCTTGACTCCATTCCCCTTCTGGTGAATACCGCACTCTAGGAAAATACTGGTTATATAATCTATTTGCACAATTGCAGTCTTTGCTGGTGAGCACATGTGGTGCTTGTTTTTCCATTCTTGGGACACTTCACTAGTAGAATGGGTTCCAGCTCTATCCAGGAAAATACAAGAGGTGCTAGATCACCGTTGTTTCTTACAGCTGACTCGTACTCCATGGTGTACACAGACCACAAGTCTTATATCAAATGTTAACTCAGCTATCTGGCCAATGAGCTCCAGAGAGGATTCATGCTGATATCGTCTGTGACGACCTGTATCTGCCTCTTTCTTGTGTTACCATTATTCTTTATTTTGCTGCCTGCCACTATACTGCACTAATTGAACGCAGGGGCTGTATTTTATTTGTATTTGCATCTCCACGGCCTGCTGTCATTAATATCTGACGGAGTAGGCTCTCAATAAAACTTCCCTAATTCAGTGAGTGGTCCAAACACACGAAAGTAACCTACTTTATCACAAAAGGTGTTCGGACTAATTCGTGTATCCAGAAAGCAGTGATAAAACTCCCCTGGCATGGTTGTAATCAAGAAAATAAACTCCATGATTAAATATAATAATGGAATAAATCTCACACCTCTCTTTCTCCTTCTCACCCTCCCATTTAAAGTACTAAGATAATTTTTCTTCATCTCAAAACAAAACCCAAATAAACACAGAAAGCCTGGAAATGTGGTATTCTGTACTCCACATTGAAGAATCCCCCTGCCTGCTATTTCTTTTTCCTTTTTTTTTTTTTTTTTTTTTTTGAGACAGTGTCTCACTTTGTTGCCCAGGCTAGAGTGAGCGCCGTGGCATCAGCCTAGCTCACAGCAACCTCCAACTCCTGGGCTCCAGCGATCCTCCTGCCTCAGCCTCCCGAGTAGCTGGGACTACAGGCATGCGCCACCATGCCCGGCTCATTTTTTCTATATATATTTTTAGTTGGCCAATTAATTTCCTTCTATTTATAGTAGAGACAGGAGTCTCGCTCTCGCTCAGGCTGGTTTCGAACTCCTGACCTGGAGCCATCCACCTGCCTCGGCCTGCCTGCTTTTTAATCACGAAAAATCAAACACAGTAATAATGGAAGTGAATGAGGTCTTCCTCCCTCCATCTCTCCCTTCCTCTGTCTCTAAAGTTCTAAGATCACCTTCCTTCATCTAAAAATAATAGAAAAATAGACACAGAAGACCTAGGAATACTATGGTAGCTATACTATAAATTAAAACCTTTAAGAACATTCTGCTTATACTAACATGGAGACAAATGTTGATGAGAAGTACCATTTAAGGGAAGGAAGACGGGATGTATTTCCGGAATAGTTGGGGCCCGTTGTTTATACTACTCCTTATTAACAGTGTAACTCTACCCATGGTATACCTCTCTGGGCCTCAGTTTCCTCATCTGCAAGGTAAAAACAATACTCCCTGTCCACATGCCGTAATGCTTCTGAAAGCGCATTCGGAAACACAATGTGCTGTATGCACAAAGTGTGTGCCCACTCACCGAACACGGTCCTTGCGGGCACGGATTCTCTGTTGAGCCAGAATGACACTTGGGAGAGAATGACAGTCATGATGCAAGGCAGGTAGGTCTGAATCACAAAATACCCGATTTTTCTTTTCAAGTGGAAATGAGCTGTCATTACGGTATATTCACCTGCAAGAAACATTTAAGAAGCTTAAGAAACCCGCTACAGTCCAATCCTTAGCACATTTTAGAAATAGAAGAAAATTAGATATAAGAACAGATCCTGGGTGTTCCCATACCATAACTGCATTAATTGTTGATACTGCTTAATTAATAAATGTATTCTCTTGTGCTTGCTGTAATTGGGGGGGAAAAGGGGGAGGGTTTGTGTGTTCCCATACTGTAATTGCATTAATTGTGGATACTTCTTAATTAATAAATGTGTTCTCTTGTGCTTGCTGTAATTGGGGGGGGAAAAACAGACCCTGATTGTTTGTTTTTTTTAAAAAAGAATTTATCACATATATCTCATGACACTTACATTATCTGTAAATGCTTCATTGGCTCATAGGAAGAGGATTTTAAAAAAAACAAAACATTTTTAATAGTATCAAGAAACTTGCAGTGCTTGTGTCATTGATAATGTACAGGCTGAATAACTCTTATCCAAAATTCTTGGGACCAAAAGTGTTTCAGGTTTTGGGTTTTTTCCAGATTTTGGAATATTTGCATTATTATTGACTGAGCATCCCTAATTCTAAAATCTGAAATCTGAAATGCTACAATGAGGATTTCCCTTGAGTGTCATGTCAGCACTCAAAGAATTTCAGATTTTGGAGCATTCCAGATTTTGGGATCCGAGATGTTCAACCTGTATTACTGTGTTTCTCCGAAAATAAGACCCTCCCATAAAATAAGCCCTAGCAGGATTTCTAAGCATTTGCGCAATAGAAGCCCTACCCGGAAAATAAACCCTAGAGACGGGCGTGGCTATGAAAATCAGCCTTAGTGATGGGCGTGGTTATTAAAATCAGCCCTGGTGATGGGCGTGGTTATGAAAATCAGCCCTAGTGATGGGCGTGGCTATGGAAATCAGCCCTAGTGGTGGGCGTGGCTATGAAAAAAGCCCTAGTGATGGACGTGGCTATGAAAATCAGCCCTAGTGACGGGCGTGGCTGCGCAGCGCATCTGCACAACCCATGCGTGCGGTTGCGGAGCGGGAAAGGACACGAGCATTCTCATCCGCCCTGTGAGAGCTCTAGTGCTCCACAGGAGAGATTGGGGCCAGTGGTTCTAAAGGAAACAGAGTCGCAAGACATTCAGGATGGGATTCGGGGTTTGGAGAGTGATGATGATGTTCCAGGAGAAGACGACTTCACTCTATTTGAATCAATGGAGATGGTTGTACCGTATTTAAAAAAAAAGAATAACTCATCCCCTGAAAATAAGCCCTAGGGTGTCTTCTTGAGGGAAAATAAATATAAGACCCTGTCTTATTTTTGGGTAAACACGGTATTTTTTTTTTATTTCCCTAGGCCATCCTGCTGACTAAGGGAATTAGAGTTATAAATGTTATTTGTCTGTGGATTATTTTACTTGCTTAAGCCCCCCATTCCTGCTGGCAGCGCGACCTCAAGTCTCTGTTTTGATTGTTCTAACTCAGAGCTCTCCGGCTATTTAACACGGTGCCCCCAGGCCATATCTCCAAGACCGGTCTTCTGGCCCAGGTTTCCCCACTTTTAACCCCATCATCAATACTGAATTTCTCACTGTTGTCTGTTCTACCTGGCTTCGGTCGCTTCTGTCTTATCTTCATACCTACCACCTTTCTGCTCCCTGGAATTTAATTATTGACAGAAGATAATTTAGTCCACACAGCTGCTTGAGTTTCTTTGGTTTTTTGTTGTTGTTGTTGTTGTTTGTTTGTTTTTTAAGATGAAGGAGGCCCTTAAAGAGCAAATCAGCTTTCCAAACATGGCAGTAGCAATTATCCATAAATCTAAAGTCAAATAACCATAAATTATCCAGAGTAGGGGGAAAAGAATTAGAAAACTACAGAAATTATCACTTGTTTGAAGGTAAATGTTGAAATCGGTCTGAGAAGACACACACTTTTTGAATACACAGTATATTTCTCCAACTTTAATGTGAATATAAATTTCCTTGGAATCTTGATAAAATGCAAATCCTTACTTAGTAAGGGGTGGGGTCTAAGCTTCTAAAAGGTGCTGTAGTGTCAGCCTTGCTCACAGCAACCTCAAATTCCTGGGCTCAAGCGATCCTCCTGCCTCAGCCTCCCGAGTAGCTGGGACTACAGGCATGCGCCACCACACCCGGGTAATTTTTTCTATATATTTTTAGTTGGCCAATGAATTTCTTTCTATGTATAGTAGAGACGGGGTCTCGCTCTTGCTCAGGCTGGTTTCCAACTGCTGACCTTGAGCCATCCTCCTGCCTCGGCCTCCCAGAGTGCTAGGATTACAGGCGTGAGCCACCGTGCCAGGCCTGTTTTTAGAACCTTAAAGGCAAAAGTTTTTAAGCAATCTGACACATTTCCAATGATTTTAACCCATTAATATTCTCAGGCACTATCTCTTCTCCAGACTTGTTTTACTAACCTGTGCTGGATTTAATCGTCTCCTTCCCAACTGATTGGCCCAGCAGATCGTATTGATTTAGCCTGGAGCCGTCCGGGGCAACCTCCACCGAATCAGACGCGTTGTAAGTCCAGATGTAAGTGACCTCTGAGGTTGTATACGCATCTGCGGAAAGTCACACACACACACACACACAAAATTTAAACACTTTAATAAGAATCAGTAAACTGCTGCCTCAAAAGTTGTGTATTTCACAGAATCACTGTTTACTGAAAAGATTTAATACTTAAAAGATCACACTTTTTCCAACCCTGGTGATACATTTAAAGAAGAACGAAGAAAATATTTATTTTCTAATTTTAAAAAAATGAAGAAATAAAAAAAATCACATTTTTTAGGGCAAAAAATGTGTGCTTTGCATTTATTTGAATATGAGGGGTGTGAAGCAAACTAAAAAAGGTGATCATGATCATGAGAGTATTTTCATTGCAACCACTTTGAGAGGTTGAGAGGTGCATGTTAAATATCTCCTTGCAGTCTGCAAAAATCACGGGGCTCTGAGACTGTTATAACATCCCCATTAGTCTCACGGTAGCATACTTTGATATTGTGGTAAACAGGTTATGAATGCCCAATAGTCCAGTGAAATAGTCCAGTTTGTTTAGAAATAGGAATCATTCACAAAATAAAAATCGTAATCCAAAATTATAATTGCTTTCTGGACATAAAAGTATCCTAGTTAAGAGTTAAGTGAATTAGCCATCACGATACGAGGCATTCCATGAGAAGAAAAAATAATAATTATTGCAGAACATGTAAAATAAATTAGATCGGTATAGTTGTATCAAGTTGCAAATCCTTTTAGAAACATGTTTTTAAATTAATTTATTAATCAAATCAATAAATTTATTAATTTAATCAATAAATTTATTAAATTAACTTTGAATTTAAATTAAATTTATTAATTAAATTAATAAATTAATTAAACTTAAATTAATTTTAAATTTAAATTAAATTTATTAATTTAATTAAACTAATAAATTAATTAATTTTTAAATTGATCACTGGGCTACACTTTCATAGCATATCAGTTAAACTGTGGACTGGCAGGAAGAGGCAAAACACATACAGACCAGCTATAACTCCCTGATTTACCGGGCAAGGATGCAGGACTTAGCAGAAGCGAAACTGTAAGGTTTTGTTCCAGGTGGGGACCCGGAAAGTATGCATAGGGCAGAACGTGGTTAATGCAAAACTTAGGTTTGGGAAACAATAGCGGCAGGAGTCTGGAGAATCTCCAGATGTTGGGAATCTAACAGACAGCTGCAGCCAGCATTCCTTCCCAGCCCTCCATAGGGACGAAGTTTACCCCTCCCCATCTCTGCTGATCAGGATGAGGCTGGCTGGAGCTGAAGGAGGGGTGTGACTGGGGCAGGGGTGCTAGGAGCTGGTGGTTTGGAAAAAAAAAAAATTAATTACAAGCAGCTGTTCTGGCCCAGTTACTTACTCCCCCCAGAGGAAGCCTCTATAAAACCCAAGGCTTGGGCCAGGCGCGGTGGCTCATGCCTGTCATCCTAGCACTCTGGGAGGCTCGAGGTGGGAGGATCGTTTGAGCTCAGGAGTTGGAGACCAGCCTGAGCAAAAGCGAGACCCTGTCTCTACTAAAAATAGAAAGAAATTAAATGGCCAACTAAAAATATGTAGAAAAAAATTAGCCGGGCATGGTGGCGCATGCCTGTAGTCCCAGCTACTTGGGAGGCTGAGGCAGGAGGATCGCTTGAGCCCGGGAGTTGGAGGTTGCTGTGAGCGAGGCTGACGCCACGGCACTCACTCTAGCCCGGGCAACAGAGTGAGACTCTGTCTCAAAAAAAAAAAAAAAAAAAAAAACAAGGCTCTCCCCTTTTCTTTCCTGGACGCTCTTTGGCCTCCACCCAGATGCTCAAAATAAACAGCATTTTGCTACACATGAGGCTTCGTGTGTCTCTCTCTTGGCTCCGAGCCTGACAGAAATGACTCCAGAGCTGGTGTGCAGGTGACATATCCGGCACTGGCACGCCCCCTTGTCCTTGCATGTCCCCTTGGGGGACAGCCCACTTCTCCCTGCAGGCAGCGGTCCCTCTGCACCTGAATGAACAGGCGATTCTTGCTGCACCATTGACATTTTGCAGAACTTCCATACGCTTTTGCTCATGGGAATGTCGAAAGATATTAGGGGTCCTCAAACTACGGCTCGGCGGCCACTGGCCGGCCCGCCTGGGACATTTATCCGGCCCGCCGGGTGTTTTATGCCGCCGCTGCCTAGTCCTGCTTAGCAG